AGGAGGTTTCATAGACTTGGCAAATTCATTTTTCAGAAGTTTGTAGGTACAGACATCTGTTGTGGGATTTCTTGGCAGTTTGAGGCTTTTAAAAATATTGTTCCTATCGATATCAAAATTATGGGACTAGATGAAAACAAGGAGATAAACACACTCTACAATCTATCCCCGCAGCATTTAGGCAGGCATTTCCAACTGATTCAAACAGGGCAAAACAAATCACCGTAACAAATCATGATTAAAACATTTTAAAAATCAAGAAAATTTCTCTGGCGGTTCTTTCTTTTGTTGTATTGAAAACGTAGCGAACCGTGACACCACTGCATCGAACCGAACTGTGAATTTTGTGAACCGTTACAACCCTAATTTATATATATATATATATATATATGTAAACTGGCCTTTATTTCTGTATTATATACATGGTCCAACTTTTTGTGTGATTTCTATAGGCAGTGGCTGCTGCTGAAAGACTCAGCTATCCCGTTCTGGTCCGGTCTGCTTTTGCCCTTGGTGGATTGGGTTCAGGCTTTGCTAATAACAGAGAGGAGATGATCACATTGGTCACCCAAGCCTTTGCCCACACATCACAAGTCCTGGTTGACAAATCACTTAAAGGCTGGAAGGAAATAGAGTATGAAGTGGTGCGGGATGCCTATGACAATTGCATTACGGTACGAAGCACCTAGAGCTGTGATTTCCCTTTTATACTGATATATTTATTCATTTATACCTACATTCCTTCACATTTTACCAGTACGTGTTTTACCATTTGTTCTTTTCTAATTAGATTATTTTCCATTTAGGTTTGTAACATGGAGAACATTGATCCTCTAGGAATCCACACTGGGGAGTCCATAGTGGTGGCTCCTAGTCAGACACTGAATGACTATGAATACAATATGCTGAGAAACACGGCCATCAAAGTTATTCGCCACTTGGGCATTGTGGGAGAGTGCAACATTCAGTATGCTCTGAATCCTGAATCTGAGCAGGTAATTCAGTCGCTTTTATAATCTTGGAAAAATTAGTTCATGGAAGCAGTGATCAAGCCATAATCCCGTTCTTTGTGTCCTGACAGTATTACATCATTGAAGTCAACGCTCGTCTCTCACGAAGCTCTGCGTTGGCCAGTAAGGCCACAGGTTATCCGCTGGCCTACGTGGCCGCTAAGCTCGGCTTGGGAATCCCTCTGCCCATGCTCAAGTGAGTTCTGGGCAAAACAAATCACCGTAACAAATCATGATTAAAACATTTTAAAAATCAAGAAAATTTCTCTGGCGGTTCTTTCTTTTGTTGTATTGAAAACGTAGCGAACCGTGACACCACTGCATCGAACCGAACTGTGAATTTTGTGAACCGTTACAACCCTAATTTATATATATATATATATATATATGTAAACTGGCCTTTATTTCTGTATTATATACATGGTCCAACTTTTTGTGTGATTTCTATAGGCAGTGGCTGCTGCTGAAAGACTCAGCTATCCCGTTCTGGTCCGGTCTGCTTTTGCCCTTGGTGGATTGGGTTCAGGCTTTGCTAATAACAGAGAGGAGATGATCACATTGGTCACCCAAGCCTTTGCCCACACATCACAAGTCCTGGTTGACAAATCACTTAAAGGCTGGAAGGAAATAGAGTATGAAGTGGTGCGGGATGCCTATGACAATTGCATTACGGTACGAAGCACCTAGAGCTGTGATTTCCCTTTTATACTGATATATTTATTCATTTATACCTACATTCCTTCACATTTTACCAGTACGTGTTTTACCATTTGTTCTTTTCTAATTAGATTATTTTCCATTTAGGTTTGTAACATGGAGAACATTGATCCTCTAGGAATCCACACTGGGGAGTCCATAGTGGTGGCTCCTAGTCAGACACTGAATGACTATGAATACAATATGCTGAGAAACACGGCCATCAAAGTTATTCGCCACTTGGGCATTGTGGGAGAGTGCAACATTCAGTATGCTCTGAATCCTGAATCTGAGCAGGTAATTCAGTCGCTTTTATAATCTTGGAAAAATTAGTTCATGGAAGCAGTGATCAAGCCATAATCCCGTTCTTTGTGTCCTGACAGTATTACATCATTGAAGTCAACGCTCGTCTCTCACGAAGCTCTGCGTTGGCCAGTAAGGCCACAGGTTATCCGCTGGCCTACGTGGCCGCTAAGCTCGGCTTGGGAATCCCTCTGCCCATGCTCAAGTGAGTTCTTTCATTGAAATTTGCTGTTATACAGAAAGTAATTGTACACTTAAGTGTTGTTCTTTTCAAAGTTGCTTAAAAGTCACTGTTTTCCAGGAATTCAGTGACTAATTCCACAACAGCCAACTTTGAGCCCAGTCTGGATTACTGTGTGGTGAAGGTTCCTCGTTGGGATTTGAGCAAGTTCCTTAGAGTCAGCACTAAAATTGGCAGTTCCATGAAGAGCGTTGGTGAGCCTCCTATAAAAAAACAAACAAACTGCATGACAAATCTGTGTATTGTAATTCTCAAACCAGTGTGATTGTTAACTAAAACTATAAAAAATTGTCTTCAATTGAAATAAAATGAAATCTAAATATTAGATGGAAAAATGTAAACACATATTTGAAGTAATAAAATGACTGAAACTGAAAAAATGTAAAGCTAATTAGAAATATAAAAAAAATAAGGATTTATAAATTCACAATTACTAAAACCTAATCTAAAATTAAAATGAAAACTGAAAATATTACAATAAAAATGATTTAAAATATGAACAAATGCTATATAAAAACTGCTAAAATAATCTCATATACAATAGCAACTACATTTATAGGAGTTTTGTGCAACAGGCATAAGTAATGGGTTTTGGTTGGATTTACCAATTTTTACTTACTACAATATTTAACAACTAACAGCCTTTTCATTGGCTGTTGCTTGTTTTTTTTTTTAAATGATAAAAATGTAATTGATTTTTATATCTGCTTCGGCAGTTACTTTAATTAGCATTTCTTTAGCACCATCCTTATTTTGCTCATTTGGGAAGCGTAATAATAAACCAAGTTGATGGTAATTGTAAGAGGGACTGTTAACAGTCTGCATTTTATATATATTTTTTAAATTCAAATTTGTGCATATTTAATAAGCATAGTGTGTATAGTTTAATTGTAAAAAGTAATTAAGTGTATTAAAATACTTTGTGAATTTTAATATGGCAATGAAAAAGCCAAATTTTAGTCTGTTTAGTTAGAAGGTGCTACATTTTCTGAACTCTCATATCCAGTGAGTTGTGATCTCATTCAGCACTCTCTTCCATCTCAGGAGAAGTGATGGCCATTGGCCGCAGCTTTGAAGAGGCCTTCCAGAAAGCTTTGAGAATGGTGGATGAGAACTGCGTTGGTTTCGACCACACCATCAAACCAGTGTCTGAGGAGGTCTGTAATGAAGTTACACATCTACCATCTCACCCCCATGTCAGATGCAATTTTTTTTGCAACAAGCTGATTAAAAACCTACATGAAAACAAAAAACGAAATATTATTTTCTCATATCCAAGGAGCTGCAGACACCCACAGACAAGCGCATCTTTGTTCTGGCAGCTGCCCTGTATGCCGGCTACACTGTTGAGCGGCTCTATGAGCTGACCAAGATAGACCACTGGTTTCTGCACAAGATGAAGAACATTACAGACCATGAGAAACTTCTAGAGGCATATAATCGGGATGAGAGTGCCATGCCACCTGAGGTTTTGAGGAAAGCCAAGCAGCTGGGCTTCTCCGACAAACAAATCGCCCAAGCTGTGCAAAGGTACTTGGAAAAACTGCTGATGCAGAAAATCACAACTGTCAATTCTAGACTTGTTTTTACAAAGAATAGTTAATATGGGCTGCAGTAGACAGCTAAATCTGCTCTTTCCCCTGCTGCAGCACTGAGCTGGCCGTGAGGAAGCTGAGACGTGACTGGAAGATCCTTCCAGCGGTCAAACAGATTGACACAGTGGCCGCCGAGTGGCCAGCTCACACCAACTATCTGTACCTGACCTATCACGGCTTAGAAAGTGATGTGGTTTTCGAGCAGCCCCATGTCATGGTGATCGGCTCTGGGGTTTACCGCATTGGAAGCAGCGTGGAGTTCGATTGGTGCGCTGTTGGGTGTATTATGGAGCTGAGGAAGGTGAGCTATCCGTATTAAGGAAAAACTGACTTTTATGTGGCTTAAAATGAAGCATAAATTCATTATTTAGTGAAATTTCAGTGTGTATTTGAGAACTGTTCATTTCTCAGATGGGATACAAAACGATTATGGTGAACTACAACCCAGAAACAGTCAGCACAGATTACGATATGTGCGATAGACTGTATTTTGATGAGATCTCATTTGAGGTAAGAAATTAAATGTTAATAAAATGCTAACAAAATGTATGCTAGTAAAATTTTATAAATGCTAAAATTAATCATATGATTTATTATTATTATTATTAATAATAATAACAATAAAACATGTAATAAAATATAAATTTATGAAAATAATATAAAAATATTACAATTAGTATATTTTATTTAATTATGATTATTATAATAAATATATAATAATTATTGCATTTGCCTGCCTTTAATCACAGGTGGTGATGGACATTTATGAGATGGAGAACCCAGAAGGAATTATTCTGTCCATGGGTGGTCAGCTGCCCAACAACATCGCCATGTCTTTGCATAGGCAACAGTGCAGGATCCTGGGCACCTCGCCTGAATTCATTGACTCTGCGGAGAACCGCTTCAAATTCTCCAGGATGCTGGACACCATAGGAATCAGCCAGCCCAGATGGAAAGAGCTGTCTGATATTGAGGTAAGATATAAAGATAATTCATTTGATTCAACTCTAAGGAATACCAAGGACTACACACCAAGGAAGTGTAGTGTGACATGAATAACCAAAGAAAGACATAAGTTCTGCTTGTAACTTCAAATGACCCCTTGGCATTTCTCTTGTAGTCTGCTGTGGGTTTCTGTGAGACGGTGGGTTATCCCTGCTTAGTGAGGCCATCGTATGTTCTCAGCGGGGCTGCTATGAATGTAGCCTACGCGGACAGTGACCTGGAAAAGTACCTCAACAATGCTGTTGCTGTGTCAAAGGAGCACCCTGTTGTTATCTCCAAATTCATTCAGGAGGCCAAGGTTAGTCACTAAAAACAGCATTTTAAGTCTGCACAAACCGCTCCCACCTTCAGGCAGTTCCAGTTAACTGTAAAATGCATGTGTGTGTGTATGGGAGAGATGGGAGTTAATTACTAGGTAATGCTGTTAGTTGGCACAAAATAAAAAAATTGCTTGTTTGAACAGGTTTTTCATTCACCACGGATGTTACATGCGGTGTGAATATTACACAATAGAACTTTCAAGTCCTGATTTGTCTTTCTAGTTGCTATTGTTGCTCAGTTTGAGAGTGCATGATTTCATGAAAAAATCTGATTTGACTGATTTATATACAACCTATATTACATGATAGCCATCAATCAACTGATGTTGGATATTTTTTTTGTATTGTTTGTCAGTCCATATTATATTTACTTGTTCGTACTCATTTCTCTTATCTCTTACATTTTAGTTTACCCAGTGTTGTATAAAGTACCTGAAAGCCATACTCAGGAAATGACTTTGGTTGAAGTAGGACTGGCCGATATAGCTAAAAAATGTATCAAAGATATAATGTTTGTTTCATATAGTTCGGCATTGATAATTATAAACTTTTTTTTTAATAACCTTTTTTAAAACAAAGAGCAATAGAAAAAAATGTTTACTTGTAACCACTGTATTTTTAAATTAACTCCATTTGAGACAAACATCAAATTTTTTTGTTTTGACAGTCAAAAACAAAATAAAAATTAAACAAATATCTAATTTCTAATGTTTTATATGCAGATTAAATAGGTTAAACTTTTGGCTTGTCTCCCGAGGCCACAGGAGGGCGCAATGAGCAAAATAATGCAGCACATTTTAAATGTTCAACGCAAGGAAGTAATGGTCTATAAAAAAAACGTGCATTAAGTCTAAATTATATAGATCAAATATAATTTTGTAAATTGCATAAACAATTAACAAAGAGCAATAGAAAAAAATGTTTACTTGTAACCACTGTATTTTTAAATTAACTCCATTTGAGACAAACATCAAATTTTTTTTGTTTTGACAGTCAAAAACTAAATAAAAATTAAACAAATATCTAATTTCTAATGTTTTATATGCAGATTAAATAGGTTAAACTTTTGGCTTGTCTCCCGAGGCCACAGGAGGGCGCAATGAGCAAAATAATGCAGCACATTTTAAATGTTCAACGCAAGGAAGTAATGGTCTATAAAAAAAACGTGCATTAAGTCTAAATTATATAGATCAAATATAATTTTGTAAATTGCATAAACAATTGAACAAAACGGCATCATGTATTTATGCATTGCTTAATACAAAGAGCCGAATCGCCCATCACAAAGATTGTCTTTAAAAACATATGAGACGCAGTGAACAGGAATAAACCTTCACAAATTTGTGACGTGTTTTCTAAAAGTTTAAACCGTTTTAACTTTGCATGACTTTCTATACATCTCTTCTGTGTGACGCGAGTGCAGCAGTCATATTTGTCCGTCTAGAAAATGCGCTGAATATACGTTCTGTGTGAATGGCTTGGTTTCGGTTTTAACCTAATCAAGATCTTCTCCGCATTGAGCTTCTTATATCGTCCAATATTTTGATTGAATAACGCAGCAACTGCTCTTCTCATGGGCTATACTAACAAAACATTAAACTACAACGTCACTTGCATCATCACTGCATTTTGTGCTCCGCTGATGACGCTCCCTGACACACATCTAACATTGGATTGTACTATTTTTGCATTCAAATGCAAAGGTTTATTTTAAATTCGACTAATATTCATTCTTTACTCCTATCTCCTCATCACAGGCAGGCACAGCCCTCATGTTGGTGTTTGTGTGTGCTGTCTGCGTCACTCATAGCACGTGCCTATATCGTGCACTATATCAAAGATTTTTTTATATTGTTAGTGAAGAAGGTGTACCGTCGATAAATATCAATACCGTTTTATCGCCCAGGCCTAAGTTGAAGTCACTGTTTAGAATATTACTTGAGTAAAAGTCTTAAAGTATGTGATATTTATTGTACTTAAGTACATTTAAGATTAAAAAAATACTTTTCGTACTTAAGTATTGAAAGTAAAAGTACAAGTAAATGCAAAATGTAAAAGCAAATAAATATATTTATATAAATAATGTTCATACATAGCTTGAGTAGCAAGATTGTGTTCAGTTTAAACTTTCTTCCATTTTATATCTTTGGTTAAGAATAAGAAGCTCTTCATCCGGTACTTAGTGTCTTTCATTCCAACATAAGAAATCATTTCTGGAATCTGCATCTGAAATAACATTTAGATATATTTACACAGTTTAATGAAGAGCCTGCGTGCTCGAAACGTCACATATGCTATGCGACAGTCTTTTTAAAAAATATTTTTTTTGATACTTTTGGAGCTTTGGTGTTGCCGACTTTGCGTCTAAAATATTTCTACTTGTTTTTTGGTCGAGCACCCAGTTGAGATCGATGTGCGTGCTTTTGCCTGCTCTTCACAGTTTAATGTAGGCCATCTCAGAGGGGGCATGGATGCCTTTAACCTGCAGTTACAGATGGATAAATAATGTTTTGTTTTTAACATAAAACGTTGAATACTGATATTTGAAATGATTTAAAACATGAAAAAAAAAAAGTCGAAATGTGAAATTAAAACCAACAGTAGGTGACAGCAAGTGACCGTTAATGAGTGAGTCATTGAGATTCAACAGATTCGTTCAAACGGCTGATTCATTCAGGAACAAAGTGTTTAAATGATTCAGTGATTCACTCAACACATTCATTCAACCGATTTGTTCAAAAAGCTGATTCATTCAATAAGTAAACACCATTGCTCAAAGATGCAGAACAGTGCTGTGATCTTTGTTTGGAACAATTTTCGTTGGCAAAATGTAAGTTACTTATTGCTAACTTTATTGAACTTGTATAAAATGATTACATTTGTTATCATGCTGATATCTGCAGAAAAACGGTACTCTTTGTGTGATATAGATTAAGTTAACTATATTAAATTATATAAATATAAAAGCATACAGAAGCATTTTGCCGCCTACAATTCAGAATGCCTTGAATTTTGAGTTTTAATAAACCAATAAATCACGTGCGTGCACTCTCTGTGTGATTTGGTGTTCTACTCGATAATGTCAGATGGCACATCATTACAAGAACACTTACCATTACTGCAGACGATATATTGTATATCGCACAGCACACCCCAGCTTCGACTTGAGTGGAAAATGAAATCATCCGCGGTTGTCCGCGCACTTGTTTGCACAAGAGCAAAGGTGTTTTTTAGGAGTCTTAACTTCTAAGCACCAGACCACTGATTCGTCAAACCTGATTTCTTGCCGTTAGTGTTCTTCTGACTATTTTGTAGCAAGTGACGAAGATGCTTCAGGGAAATGTATCGGAGTAAAAGTATACGTTTTAATTAGGAAATGTAATGGAGTAAAAGTTGGCTGAAATATAAAAAGTAAAGTACAGATACTCCCAAAAAATACTTAAGTACTGTAACAAAGTATTATTACTTCGTTACATTACACCACTGAGTTTACCTTTATTCTCAAAATGAATATTAATTTTCAATACTATAACTTATAATGCCTAAACTCACTTTTAGCATTTAAAACGATTGATTTTAGTGCATTTTTTTTATTTTATTGTAGACAAAATAGCGAATTAGAATATCAGCCATTTCTTGGTTTTCAGCCATAAAATGAAAATCTGGATAACCCAAAATTACATCCTTTTTAATATTATTTATATATGATTATAGCTTTTAATATTTTTAATTAACTTTATTTTCACCTTTCATTTCTTTTTGTTTTTATTATTTCTATTTAGCTTTGTTTTATTTTAGTTTTAGTATTTTCAGTTTTTCATCTAATATTTTTATCGTTAACGATAACAACACTGATCCTTATGTGTAATTTGAATCCTGTAGTACTCTTTAGTAGTATTGCTGTGTTAGATATTTAAAGCTATTGTGGTGGCAGGATTTGCACTGTCAAATTTTGCAATGTTTTTTGATGGAGATATTTTGCTTTCAGGAAATAGATGTGGATGCTGTGGCCTGTGACGGAGTGGTCATTGCCATAGCGGTGTCTGAGCATGTGGAGAACGCAGGGGTGCATTCTGGAGATGCCACACTGGTGACTCCTCCTCAAGACATCAACCAGAAAACCATGGAGCGCATTAAGATGATCGTTTACGCGATCGGCCAGGAGCTTCAGGTCACCGGCCCCTTCAACCTGCAGCTCATTGCCAAGGTGAGTTTTCATTATTTAAAAAAATATATATTTTTTTAATTTTTTAGCTAGGATGAGTGCATTTTATAATATTTGGTGCTGAAACTAAATCATGTGTGTTTGTCAACAGGATGATCAGCTGAAGGTGATAGAATGCAACGTGCGAGTCTCGCGCTCCTTCCCTTTTGTGTCCAAAACACTTGGTGTGGATCTTGTTGCCCTAGCAACAGGAGTCATATTGGGAAAGGAAGTTGAGGCTGTTGGGCTGATGAAGGGGATTGGCATTGTGGGAGTTAAGGTATTGAAATCTCGGGGATGTCTGTTTTTAATGGGAACACTTTAACCATCTCAGTATTTAAGATCTACATAAGCTCTGCGTTTGATCCTTAGGTTCCTCAGTTCTCCTTCTCACGGCTGGCTGGAGCAGATGTGGTTTTAGGTGTTGAGATGACCAGCACTGGAGAAGTGGCCTGCTTCGGGGAAAACCGTTATGAGGCCTATCTAAAAGCCATGCTCAGCACTGGCTTCAAAATCCCTAAAAAGAATATTCTCCTCACTATTGGTACTTATAAGGTAATGGCTTACTTTACAGCAAGTCGATTCATTTGAGTCTGCTCCTATTAATTTTCATATTCCCATTACTGAAAGCTGTGGTTTGTTAATTTCATCACCATTGCTTATTCCATTGCATACATAAGGATATGACTTAACAAATCCTTAACCCTAAAATTTGCTGTTTGTGCCACAGGTAAATATACCATAAATCATGTGGTTTGTGATGTTTACCTTAGTTTAATGCATTTTGACTTCAAATGTTTACCTGGTCGGTGATAAAACGAGCAAAACTTTTTTTAATAATGCAAATTGCATATATTAATATCGAAGGAGTGGCATTAAAGGGCAATTTCAACTAAAAAGTAAACAACCAACTAGCAATGTTCTAGCTACCTCACACATCACTTTAGCATCCACATGTCAACACATCTAAACGCATATTAACAACTACATAGGAAGTTCCTGGAAATTACCCACAACACTGTAGTATAGTGGTGCACATTTTGCTCATTCACTCTCACTTTTATTAGAGAATGTAAAAAATAGGGGTGCTCCGATTGATCTGCTACCGATCACTATTGGCCGATGATCAAGTTGGGATGATTGATCGGCGGCCTCTAAAAAGGCCGATCTAAAAAAAAAACGATCTCAAGCTGATGACTCTGCCGTGAGAGGTTTGGCATGATATGCAGCGGCACGTGCCGGTCTCTGTCCGGCACGGGTGAAATAATTATAATGCTGAAGGTGAGGTACTCCCCTTCATATTTCTTCATTAAAGAACTTCTAAAGTAATTTGAAAACCTTGTGTGAGACGTAATTTCACAAACTTCGTGAGTGAATCACCGCACGCGCTCTCTCTTTCTCTCAAAATACGCAAATGGCTTCAAATCACCACACATGACGTCTGTCTATAAGCGAGCTGCACAGTTGACACAGGAATTGTCACTTGCACAATCAAGGCAGTGTCACATCGTCACTAAAGTTTATAAATTGCATTACTTTGTAATTCTTGCCAGTGTTTAACCATTCAGTGCTCGCGAGCTCTCCTGGAGACTGTGCGCTCATGCACACTCGCAGCGCAGCGCGCACACATAATGTCAGATTCACATTACTCCGTTTGCGGTGCATATGTGGTGCGTATTTTTTCCGCGCTCATGTTAACGGATTAAAGCGTTCACTGCACACAGCTGCGGCCCGGCAGTGCGTTCAGGAGCGGGGGCGCTGCAGCAGTGCAGAGATCGTTTCCACACCGAGTCTATTGCTGCGCACTGCATTAAAGTAACAGCGCATTGTTTGCAGT